GCTGTCTTTCGGGTGAAAAGCCAAGACCAGCCAAGATACTGGCAGCACGCGATTCGGCTTTGTCCGATTCCATTTCTGAAAGTTTGGAATGGATATCACTTAAGGTTATGTCTAAACCCTCCCTTTCGTGGTCAAGCCTGGCAGCATCTGTAGAGGTGTCTGCCATCGAAGACCGTTCCGCTTCTAGAGCAGTCAACTGTTTCGTAATTCTCTGCAAAACAGGTCAGAGGGACGGACGGGTTGAGGACAGAGATTATCAAGACAAGCAATACTGACATCTTGGTCTGCGAGAAGACGCTTTCGCCATACATCTGCATCCAGAACCGCCTGCAGAGCAGGAGTGTCGTCCCCCATGATCTAATTAAAATCATCAGAAAGGTACAGCAAATCAAATCAAAAGATGATAATGAATGGAGGTGGTGAGGAAAAAGAAAGAATTTGAATGCATACTTCCTGTTCAACGTGGAGGATCGATATATGGCTTGGGATTGCGACTTCTCTACGGCTCAAGGCCCGCAAAAGAGTCGACTTTCCTATACCATTCTGACCAACAAGACCGTACCGTCGACCGTACGCCAGGGTAAGAGAAGCGTCGGTCAAGATTCGATGACCACCAACAGAGGTGTCAATGCTATCAATCTTAATGTCCTTGCTCTTTGCTGCAGAATCCGAGCCCAGCTGGAGCGGGTTAACGGCCATGAAAAACTCCTCATAAGACATGGTGCTATCTGGCTGGTCGAGGAGACGGGACGATTCGTATTGCACCATCTTCATTTGCTTTTTCTCCTGTTTGGCACGGATCTTTCGCTCTGCCTTTTCAAGCTTCTTGCGGTCTACGCGGGACTCCACTTTCCTGCTGTTGGCAGATTCCAAGTCGACATTTCCACCAGCAAGTCCCAAAGTCGAGGACATGTTTCTCTGGGACCCAACATTGATGGCCTGGTCTAGCTTCTTAGCAGTGAACGGTATTTGCCTCCGCTCCGCATCGACACCGTCCGCAGAACTCAAAGAAGAAATGAATTTTTCCACTAAGTTCCGAATAGATTTTTCATTTTGGTCGGAGAAGTCTCCGGATGCAGATACCAGAAGTTCCGTGACCATGTCAGCGGCCTCCGCCAAAGGTGACGGGGCATTTGCGTCCTCGACATATGCCCTCGAAGCATGTGTCAGGTAGCCCTATAATTCATTAGTTCACCATTTTCAGCGTGTATCGTAAGATTCATGGAACTAATTACCACAGAGTATTCTGTGATCACATGGTCGAGACCAGGAATCTGTGACTGAAGTTCTGCCTCCATCTTGGTATCACTAACACCAAAGAACAAAGCTTTTTGAAGATGAGGAACAGACTCAAAGTGTATAGAAGGAAAAAATACACCAGTTCTGCCGCAGCACCGAACAATTATGTGAGTCTATAGAATATCATCGAGAGTTTTCTCTTTTTTCTTCCGCTTTTCCAGCTCTGCCTGAATGAACTTTGGCGGAGTGCCGGAAGTGGAGTCAACGCCGTTCTAGATTGGTTGGTCTTTCGCAGAAGGTCCCCGCCTCTCCAGCACTCTGGGCGGACATGCTTATAGTACCATACATACTGTAGTATATCATATGTATCACCTGATACTAATAGGCTTCGCCTGCTTCTCTCCCCTTCATTCCCTTAACCATCTATGGCAATTCTTTTCTCATCATGGGGGCCTGATAGAAAAGAGGTTCTTATAATTACCAAGATACTGACCTATCTACCGAAGATAATTCAAGTTAAGAAGAAGAAAAGGACGAAGAAAAAGAGGAATAATAATAAAAAGGAATACTTAGATCTGGTTGTGGTAATAATCATTAAGATGTCTCGAATGCTACGAGCTAATCTAATTGAAAACTGACAACCATTGAACCTCGGCGGGGCAACGTATACGTATCACAGGGCACACAGTATGTGATGCAGCCCAGGAAATTCCACGAAAATCTGGAGAAAAAATTGCAGGTCTCCCATTCTTGATTAGTCTATCCAGTAGCTAGTTGAATGAAAGATGAGGCGAGGCACGCGATAAAATACCGTTACCCCACCATCCGAACTGAGAAGGCCTGTCTTTTAACAGTCACCTTTTCTTAGCCACTTTGATTCGTTTCCCAGTGGGTGGTTAACAATACGGTCTATACTAGTATTGTCGGTTGAGTCGGATAAATTTGCTAGGGCATTGCAGGGATTTATGGGGTTTGAATGCCTTATGATCAGCATTGTCCCGGAAAATTACGTGTAATTGGTAAGAGAGATGGAAGGGGATATAAAGGCATCCCTAGATTTTTGATGATGACCATTTCTCGACTAGTACCTCGTAGTCATCCCAAGTAAGCCACATTACGCCGTATGGATTACTAAGGTCGTTGGGCAATGCGTCCCTGCGAGGACATACTACTTGTACTCTGCCTAGCAGTGGGCCTAGGCAAGGAATACAAGTGTACCTGCCTTGGGTAGTTTCATGAAGGATGCGACAGGTACAGGTTAGCAGAGGCTAGCAGCAAGGGATTTAAACAAGGGATCAAACTAAAACACACGGAAAGTTCAAGCAATAAGGAGCGGGAAACACCAGAGAGGAGTTACATCATAGATAGTACTTTCAGTACTAAGCGCTGGTCCTATCAAAATGAGCACTACTAGTACTTGCTTGGAACTTGGACTTGGTAATGATAAAACCGGGGGAGGTAGGTTAACTACACGGTAACTAGTTAGTTACTTCTTAATTATTAACAAGAGGGGGGGAAACATTAAAAAAAGGAAGAAGAAAAAGAACAGGAGGGGGGGGGAGGGAGTGTGTAAGTAAATTATCGTACCTAAGAGAGTGGTGAGTATATTTATCAATTCTCTCTTTTTCCTTTTGCCGAAATGAACTTTTCATTTTGTTTAATTGCATTTTTTAGGAGGCCCCACTTCTTCCACGGAGTAGACCGACAGTTCAGGTCGGAATTATTACCATTCAAGAAACTCGCAGGCCACGTTCTCTTCCTCCTAGAAAATAGATCTATCATTTCCGATCTGCTTCTGGTCCTACCAAATAAGCTTACCACCGTACCGTTGGCCCGGCATTTTGACACGAAGGACACAAAGCCCCGTCATGGCCTCTCCCTTTCTATTCCTATACGGAGTAGGTTCACCTTTAGTCGAAGCTTCTTCCACATGTGTTATTTTTCGGTCTTCGCAAAGGCTATTAGCAAGCATTAATCGGAACAGCGACAAGACCGGCGGGTATGAGATCATCTTCGCCTTCTGCCGCCACTCTTTGAGAAGAACGGGAAAGATTTGTTCATTATCGTCATTATTAGTATTTTATGTTTTATGTGTATTCTTTATTTTTTTCAAACTTGATCTAATACGAGCAGTTCCCTTCAGTATTTCCTGGAAGCTAAACATTGGTAACCGATCGGTCTCAGTTTGAACGAGTAGTCCCGACCGAGGTAATCCGTACCGTTCGATCACCGCCTTACGATCTAAGATACGATCTCATCAAGGGACATAAGAACTGGCTTTTTCGGCAAACTAGGGAGGAAATGAGCTCCGAGCCTACCCTTCGGCCATCTTCCATGTGGGACTGGCCTCGCTGTGTTAGAGTTACTGCCTTGGCCATATACTCTTTTGATAATTCTATATTTGAGTTTATTCTACTCTGTACCCAGAGCTGCTATATCCGTAGTCACAACTACGAACTGTGGACGAGGACAATATTAATGATCTATTCTTATCTCCTCATACCAGGTCTAGTTTAGCGGGTCAATTAACTATTCATCAAAACGCCTAGCTAGCTTTGGGAGGTTAGATGTTCTGGACCAATAGTCAAGCCGTAAGGGATGATGACGATAACAGGGGAAGGGCGAGAAGCTGAAAATCCCTGGTTTCATTAATTAAACCCTCCAGCAGGGCTTCAAGGATCTAGTTAGTTAGTGAAATCCCTGCTATTCATCAAGATTTGAATTTGTAACGTTGTTTGCTTCTCAGGTGTCTGTGCCCCCTCTTCCTGCAGCTAATGATGGACAGTCACAAGTCACTATTGTTTTCCTTGTATTAACTTACTATTATAATAGGTTTTTTTTTTTTTTTTTTTGAGACGCTATACCTATTAATATAGCTCATTAGGGATATTCTATAGTTATGTATTGCTGAATGTCACTGTAGCTTTCATACAGGGGGAGGGCGGACAAGTATTATTTGGTATATGATAATTACAGCATACTACGATTTGACTTGATATTCGTGTCCATGTCTATAATCAATCTGCCAGATTGACAGCTGGTTTTTGAGGCTTTGTTGAGTTCTTGTTTCTGGCATGAGGGAGAAAGAGAATGAAAAAGAAAATTACATCTCGATACCTACTCCAGTGCTTTAAAGATTTATATCCTGTCTTGTGCTCTTTTTTTTTTTTTTTTTTTTTTTTTTTTCCCTTCTTCCTAAGATCAAAGGGCATAAAGTTGAACAGTGCATCTAACTATCGTTATTCTATTAAAGCGAAAATATCTCTTCTCCCTTCATAAATATTTCTCACGATGGTGATATATTGAATGAATTTACCTTGCCGGGTGGTGTGGGTGTTGTGCTGGGGGTGGACACTCCTAGCGTGCTCCATTCCTTTAAACTAGAACCAGAAGAACATCGCCCGTGGGTGGGAAAGAGAGAGACCGTGTGTCCCACGGTTCAGGCCTTTGTTGATCAATAGCCTCTTGTTATTGTTGTTTTTATTTTATTATTATTATTATTCCTTTGCTGTTGTTTCTCATCTACTTTCTTCCTCTTTCTAGCTGCCTTTGGATAGTAATTTTCTTTTCCTTTTTTCCTTTTTCTTTTTCTTTTTCTTTTACTGTGCTTAACTAGAGACTTGACCACAGCTCTGATGTTCTCGTACTCCCCATTCCTTTACTATATTCTTTTTTGGTCTCCTCGCATTCCTTTCTCCCAACAGCCACGCGCCGTTCCCCTCACTCTAAAGGCACATCGACCTTACTGTTGCTTGACATCCAAAAGAGCCTCCAACCGTACCCGGTGATAATATCCTATCTACAACGTCTGACTAAAATTCTCAAACCACCTCGATTTTCTGAGATGCTCCCAATCTAGACGTGCTAAGCCAGCTGATCCTCGTGCATAATAATGCAGATGGGACGTCAACTACATGTAATATCGATGTTGCCACTTTGAGCTTCATGGTGCTTGACACTATTCTCGGCGCCTTTAAGGATGGAGCATGTATCAACTGTGAGGTCTCTCCTTTAAATTTTCTTCTTCTTTCTCTCCGTTGAACACTCTGCCATCTTATGAACAGCTTTCTTTCTTGCGAAGCAGTTGCACCAATAACCCCTCATGGCCTTTGTATGTTTTATGAACGTTCTTGGCTAATATATTATCACCCAGCTTTGTGCAATCAGCACTGTTGGTATTGCAGCAACTGGCTTTGCTCTCGGTCGCGTAGATCGAAATTCACCCAAGCCGGCGCGCTTCCGAAAAAAGACCTTCCCTCTGCATGATCAGCGCGCGCGCGCGACAGACCCTCGATCACCGCTAGACGACATACAGGCAGGCCCTTCCACCCCATTCACGGCAGCAGAAAGCAAATGTACCGCGCAGTTCAAGACTTTCCATGCGAGTGGGGGCGATTCTAACGCTGGGAACCACTCCCAGTGTCCAAACCACAGGAGAAAATCATCCCTTGCAGGGATTATACTGCGGCGTCGTGGTCAGACTCTATCAAACCCTCCACTGCGAGTCGAGGAAGACTCAACGGCTTTGCATACCCGAAGACCGTCATCCTCTTGGGTGCGGCGGCTGTCATTTCAGCCAGGAAACCGGAGCTCATGCCAAAGTCCTACCTCTCCGACGTCGAACGGACCCACAAGCCCTACTCATTCGCGCCCCTCCAGCCAGCGCCGAGTACCCAACAAACTCGTCAAGCGGCCTCCATCACAACCTTCAAGCGCTCATTTTCAATTCGCACACGCGCCTTCGCCCCCTTCAATTACATTATTTCGTAGACCAGCCACAAGTCATCAACGATCCGAACACCTGAGACACAAAGCAACACATAGTTTAAACTTCGAACCCAGTCTTCTTACGAACACACCATTGCTTCCTACTAACAGAGAATCTTCTGTGGTTGATATAGCTTGGGATCCCTATTTAACTGCTACCTACGATGGGATACCGGACAGGCTGGCACGCAGGCTGTCAACTGCAACCAAGCCAAAAGAGCATGGGCTGCGGCTAATTCTCCCGTCTACGGATACTATACCAGCTCTTCTCCTAGCAAATTCAATCACAAACAAGGAGATTTCGGTAGGGGTTAGTTCGCTGGAGACCGCACCTACCTCTCCAGTGCAGTTCCGTGATCCGTTCAAGCCAAGTGATACTTCACGAGAGTTAGACACATCCCTTGCACTAGAGGAAAATCATCGTCAGCCATCGATACAAGTTTCAAATGACTCCAAGTCAGCAATACCAGCTCCAGACAATGCCAATGTCTACAAACCCCTCAGTACTGCACTTGCCCGTCCTAAAATGAGAGCAATCTCAGCGCCTCTTCCTACTTTTGCAAAATCGGAAGGAGCTATTCTGCTGTCGCCACGATCGCGTGCAAGGCGCAACATTACAGACCCGAACATCTTCCGCCGGCCCCCAATTGTCTCGCGGGCGGATGGATTTACAGTGCCTGGGTTCATGGGTTCCGGCTCCAAAAAGGCCGCCTCATCCTCTCGCATTGATATTGGTTATTTGCGAGAGACCGGACAACGCCCACTTACTTCAGACGGTGTGGCCTTGTCCGTCTTGCAAGGCCCAATCCGTCAGCGACCTAAGCGACATTCAATTGCCGCATCCGACCCTGCCTCAACTGTTATTGGCTCTGATGATACTCGTATTTTCACTTCAGGTGAGGAGGACGAGACCGATTTCTTGAGCGACACCGCTTTCGATTCGATCCGCACACATATGACCACTAGCAGCAATTCAGGTCTGCGTGCTCGTCGGGTGGAGACCATTTTTGATAGAGATCTACCCTTCAGCAATGCGGGCGAAGGATCCTTACATGTCAAGCAACTCGCCTCGCATTACACTTTTTCTTCTCAGCCGTTTGACGACAGCCACAATCGTTCCAACCTGATGCTAACACCCGTCCTTGACTCTCTCCCTGACCCTCAAGAAAAGTTTATACATGACGAGGAGAGTAGAATATCATTCCCATCCGATTTAACAGATGATGAAGACACCCACAGCCTAGTAGCTGCGTTACCTGGGGAAATAGTCAAGCTGGACGAACGATCGAAATATCCGAGAATGTCTTTGAATAATTACGAGAGGAATTATGCTGGTCGTGATATCTTGTTCGCTCATGGCAGGTCAGATATTCCTCTCGATTTAACTAAGTCCAATTCGCGCAGCGTTACCAATGAGATGCTTGAAATGTGCCCCCGGATGAATATTTTCGACTGGTCTGAACAACCCAAAAATGACCGCGAAGTTTCTGGGACCGACGGACGCCCCCGCACGGTCCACGGAAAACATGGGCCTGAGCTTCGAGGTAGTCGAGCTCCGGGCCGCAAAGCACCAAATACTTTACATCTTCGGAGCCAAAGCGTCCCGGTATCGAGAGACTATCCAGCTACCAACGAGACACGACAAACATCAGGCAAGTTTGGCACTTGGGGGTTGGGCAGCAAGGGTGTTAGTGAAGACTGGGATAGCGATTTCGACTTTGAGGACGCGGACGAAAGTACAATCAGCGAGAGCATGCGGACGAGCAAGAACGTTGCCCGGCGCAGCATGATAGTTCCCCAGGCTATCATGGAACGTCAAGCCAGTCTCCATGGACAGTTTGGACAAGTCCAAGAGCTGACCCTGTTAGTTGAAGAGCTCAAACGCCTTCGCCACCAAGCTAGTTTCTTGGATATTGTGCGTGGACCATCTAATGAGCTGTGGAAAGAAGCAGAGGGTATTGTCAACTTGGCTACCCTTGATGATGAAGAACATAGTCATTCCCCCCCGGGCTCCCCGTCCTCTCTCACCTTCAGTTTCAATGATTCTGAAGAAGAATCAGCCAACACGAACGATCCCTTTAAACGAGCCAGTGAAGAGTCATCGAGAGCTTCATTCTCAGAGCCACCAAGTCCAAACCAAACCACTGCGGATTCTGATCACACGGAACTCCCTGCCAAGGCAAATTCTGTGCTAGATTTGATCTACCAGCAACGAACATCTCGCGATTCATCCTTCATGAATCGTCAATCCCCGAGATCAAAAAAACTCCCCTTCGATACACAATCCCTTCGCGACCTCGTTATCCGAGCCGGCGTTGTAACCCGTGCTCTCAAGGAAGTGATTCGCAGAGCAGAGGGGGTCGCATCTGAGCCCAATGAGAACATGCATCATTCGGTCCCTCCGTTCAGCCGGATATTCGACCAATCTTCCAATGATGATGTTTCTATTTTTAGGACGCACTGCATTGCTTAACATGCATACATCGAGTTTCCTGCGTATCATAATGTACCTACCTTAAGCTTCGCCATGACATCACTTTGTTTCGATTTATAAAAGTTTCAAGTCTTTGGGCATACGATTAACATGCAAGAGAACACCTAATGCAGTGTCAACTCTAACAATTCCTTTCTGAATAACCCCTTTCTTCCCCCTCCCCATCTTTTTTCTTTTTTTTTTCTATTCTTGGCTATTCTTCATCGAGAAAGTTCGTCGTTTAAGAGACTTTTATCTATTTGAATAGATCTCTTTTGTACAAGTGCGCCCATTGGTGTATATTTTCCCTGGAAGCGTTGCGTTGTGTGCCTTGGCGACCCTTGTGAGAGCATTGCCATGTTGGGTCCTTCTTATTCTCTCTATTTTTTGATAACTGTTTTACTGATCCCCTTGTTTAGATGCATGGCTCGCATTTTACTTTGGCGGTCCATCACTGGTTTGTTTCTTTGTTTCCATCAATTATTCCTTTAACTTTGTCTCTTTCCTCTTCGTTTCTTGCCTTTTTTTTGTCCCTTTCTTTTCTTTTCTTTTACTTGCAGCTAGGAAAGTGTATGGATATGTTGTTGAAGGTCTTGGGGGTGCGAAAGATGGATAATGGCGTGTATGGCACATCATGAGGACCATGTCAATTCTAGATGAAGACTTGGGAGAGATTAACTAATGTTGACAGTCAAATATCCCAAATGTTATCTTGTCACTTTGTGAGAAATTGAAAAGCTTAATGATTCTATCAGCAACAGGGTCGTTGTAACCTGTGTATTGATTTTGCAAGTAACCCCGCGGTTTCCAGACATGAAAAATGTCCACACAGCAAGATATAGGATAACTCCCGTAGGCACCTAGAAAAGAGCAAAGGGGGGAGGACTTGACGAAGGAAATGGGGGCGGAGAACGTAATAGCGCGTAACAGCATCCTCAACATAGTAGCTGCCTAACACAAGCAGAGCTATATAGACCTATGATGCCCCGTAGAACGCATTTCTCAATACGTCCAATCAAGACTAGTCAGCATGCTCGTTACTATAGCCCTGGGGAATAACACCATCATTTCTCTCGATTCTTTTGCCTCGAAAGGTAGGGAAAAGAAGAAGGGATAGGCACCATGATGGCAGAGGCCCAGCCATATAACAATACAATTGAACCCCTATGAATCGAAGTTGAACTAGTCAACGCAAAAAATCATCAAGCTACATAGCAAGTTTTTCGCGGGAAAATTCAGCGCCAGCTGGCAAACGTAATGCCAATGGACATCCACACTGACCTCGGGCCAATGTAGTCTTCTGGCATTGCTAACTCCATGAGAACCATTCAGGAATAGGTATCCGTTTGTTTATAGGGAGCTTTCTATTTGGTCAAGATTAAGGCAGGTTAATAGATATATCCCTTAGGAAAGTTCACTTTAATTTAGTAGAACCGGTTCGACCTCTATGTTCCTTGCTATTTCCGTGGATATTTTTAAAAGGCAGTGGGGTATACAGGTATGAGCAAGTATAGCAAGCTGTGGCAGATTGTTATACAGATACTCGATACAACATAGACAGGGTTTGCCAGACTCGGCAGGTTCACAAGCGCAGACGAGTCCCTTGAAGAACTGATTCTCCGAAGTCACAATGGGTATTTCACTTTCCCTCTTACCTCTCGGCACGTACAAGTCAGTTTCTTGGTTCATCAATGTAGTTACACGGCTTTTCAGGCAAGAACAACTGGTGGGTGGGGTTCATCTCCAAGATACTGTTTGACACGAAAACTCAAAGTACATATATAAGATAAGCAGACGCCCGCGTCCCTGACTAGCCTGAATTGATGCAGGTCTTCTGAGGAGATATTAGCTGAATGAAGTTGTAGAGAGAAATCTTGTCAGCTCCATCAAGGCAAATAAAGTAACGGTTGTGGGCCATTGTCATATTCCGTGAGTTTTTTCATAGACCAGGTGGTGAATCGCAACGGTGAGAAGTCTATCTGTTCCTCCTGGCAGGTGTGGGTACTATGAGTCTGAACACATACTGAGCAGTGAACAAACAATTTTAGCACCTCATATATAGACAGATGGATAGATAACATAACAATAGTGTGACATGATCAACTAGTGTCTTGTTGCCAGGTCATGAGGTATAAATATTAATCAGAGGTATGGAGGAAGGATATGCAATATAATCCATAAAGTCTCTAGGTACATTTCGTGGCATGAAGTGTCCGGGGAAATCTAGGACAGAACATTTCCCGAGACCCAATCGCATGGCTAATAAAGAAAAACAAAGTATTCCAATATTAAAGATATTTTACTGGAAGTCAGCTCAGTTCCACTTTGGTGCATGCAATACCAGGTGCTAGAGATAGGGAAGCCTCTCTGTTATCGGCACACACCCACCGGCAGAGGATCCTGCAAGCTCGTGAAAGCCATTCTAGCGTCATTAGCTGTTTCTGAAGCGATCGAGCCTCCTAATACAAACAAGCCCAGCATAGACAGTAGCTTGGTTTACACTCATCCGTGGAGCGAAGGATGTCGAAGTAGCTGAAGAAGGGGAGGTGAGAATAATGTTTGGACGCAGATTACTCCCAGGGGGTAAGTATAGTGTTCAACAAAAGCCTTCCCTCTCCCCATCTTTAGCCTGCCTTCGTAGCAGGGGGTTTCTTGTAGCTGCTTAGTAAAGGGAGTTGTTGACGATAGTTACGACTCCGTATAATGTAAGGTAGCTGAAGCGACAGCTCACTATAACCGTACCTATCAAGTTAGCAGGGCGCGTCTTTGTCTCATCCTTACTAATACTGGGAGATATGAGGATACGACTGAGAGACAGCTATAGATGGATGCCCTTCGCCTAATGTGTACTATTTCGAGGGTAACGGACGGCTGGTAATAGATAATATCCATCCTGAGTGGGTAGGTAGCGGGTGATGGGGGCACCTTAAACGTTAGCATGGAACGATAAGCACAGAGCAGCAGCCAAGTTGGTTGGACAGAGAGAGTAATCCGGAGTCATTGGTTAAGCCGGTACGTCTAGTAGTAGGTAAGATGTACCGAGTATGTACAATGTACCCAGTACATACTAGTAGGCACCTCGACCACTTGTCAAACAACCCATGAAAGTAAACCTGATTCCTTGGTGGAGTAGAGGCCGAAAGGGGCTGGTTTCAGGTAAATTTATTGGTTATAAGTAGAGCGGGTTCCTGACGCTAAAAGATCTTGGCATCCCCACTTTGTCCGAATTTTTTACTCAGGGGATCGCTTATTTTAGATACCAACGCATGGAGCGATGTAGACACATCAGTTCTCCAGACACAGCATATATACCGGATAACATTTACAACTGATACTGGGAGCAGAGTAGCCTTTAGAGGCAAGTATATAACCCCAGCAAAACACAATCGGGAGACTGGACTCAGTTCTATTAAGGGGTTTGAGCTATACACTGTTGCCCTATGGCTCTTGACTCCGCTTTTCATTACTTGAGTGACGATGGCCTGGGCCACTATGATTCAGGGGAACCCCATAAGATGGATGTACTGTAGTGGTACGGAGTGGTATTAGCCCCATTTGCACTCAGATCCTGTACCTTTTGTAGGACACTACCATTCTACATAGTGCGATGGGGCTTAGCCTGACTTAGACTTACGGAGTACGGAGTGGTACCTAGTTCAGTACTTACTGTATAGTAGGTTGGGGAAGACACTATTGGGGCGTATCATCGAAAGGAACAAGTGACGAATGGTACTGTACTGTCACTTGGAGGATAGGTACAGAACGAAACAGGCCAGCCATCTAGACCGCTGCTAACTATTCTTACGCTCACCCTCTCTTTCTTTCCCCCTTCTTGTCCTCTTGCTCTTTTTTTCCTGCTTCTCCTTCTTCTTTTCTTCTCGACTTGTTGTTTTCCTTTCCTCACTTCTTCTTCGCTCCTTGTTGCAATTTTCTAAACTGCGATCCCATCACTAAGATCATAGACATTCATTATTGCTCTTTCTGGCCACTGGCCGCCATTCGTTAAGGGAGTGTACCCGCTCCTGTTCACTCATTTGCAAGAAGTTGTATTCTCGGTGTTGGTTCTGTTGTTCTCTATCAGCCACTCTATCAAGAAGTGCCATTTCTTGATGTACGCGACTGATCATATTTTCTACTGGCTGACATCTTAATTTGTTCAATCTTTGTTTTTCATGATTCATGTGTACAAATATCCAGGTGATTTTGCCATATATTCGCCCGGTCTTCAAGAGCACATGAAAAGCGACCGAGGGTAGTACCGTCTGGTTTTACTGTACCCGTTTAGTCCGCCTGTCGCCCCATCGCACTCGCTTGGGCTTCAGGCGACCATGCATTATCACCACCGACACCAGACTCACCATGACATTCATATGGTGGTTCGATCCCCCCCACGTCGCCCGGATATAGTACCTCGTCACCGACTACCATATCTTGTGCCAGAAACACCAACGTTCATGAAAAGGGATTCCGACCCTAGTCAGACCTGTTCAGCTGGAGACAGCTCAAGTAAATGCGAGAAACCTACTAGCACGACTACGACAACGACTCTACCTGTCGTGCTGGGAGCAGTGTATGTCGGGATTTCCCTCTGATTCCACAAGCCCCTTCCCACCTCACCAAAAACGAAGAAGAAAAAGAGCCTTGACTCATTGAAAAAGTGTGTGTATTTGTATATGGGATAGCAGTTGATTGAAGTATAGGGTGCCGATACTATGTGCCGTAATCGTCCTAATTTATCTGCATCGACGAAATGTGAGGAAGCTCCGGAACGAAGATGCCAATGACAAGCATAGATCGCTTGACTTTGGGTTGGATCTGGAGCCAACGGGTGGAGGCAAAGCGATGCGGCAGACCGAGAAGTCCAATGGAAATTATAATCACAACAAAGGAATCTCATTGGATATTGGCCCGAGTCCTTACCTACTACCCCCAGGCCTACATGGCTCCCGGGATTCGCTGCATTCGTTGTCCAGATCTATAGGTGGCGATGATAAATATCGGCACGCCACTTCATTCTTAGGTGACAACGCATCTGTCAGATCACAGTCAAGAGGAGCCCAAGATGATGCATCAAGCTTTACAGGATCAACCAAAAAGGCCGCTCTCGGCGATGATATGAAGCAAGGCTTATTGGGAAACGCTCAAAGGATGTCACGATCCAGTCCACCATTATATATAACACCTGGCGAAGATGGCGCACACATGCAAGT